TTTAGATTATGAAATGATCAAAATAACGGATCATAAACAATCTTAATAACCCGACTCTACTAATAAATTATTGTCATTATAATTTAATGTAATAAGGACATACATAGCAATCATATACAACCTTAAAATACATATATATTCAAAAAAACTCTAGAGATCACACATTCGGTAATTTTCTCCAAAATAAAGCCAATAAACCGGCATAGATTGTACTAATAATCAAGAATCTAGTCTAGCATCTTGAAAATGACTGAAAAAAAAAAAACCAAAAGCTAAAGCAACATGGCAGACAGTCTAGGTGAATTTAGTTTCAGATTCAATCAATGTTTAATGATTTTTTTTAAGATTAAATAATTATTTTGTCTGCTTATTGTTTTTTGAATAAGTGAATAATTATTTGTCACTCCAACAATTGTACCCCAGTAAAAGACAGGAAGCTAAAAAGCAAGTCAACCGTCAGTCTTCCACAAAGGTCTAAAAAAAAGCTACTTCCTATCAGAGCTATGCACCACCAGCCCTCTTTTCTCTCACTTCTCAATCCCAAGTCTCTAATTATTTTCCCATCACCACCCAAAAGAAAAGAATCAGTACTAGTTTGGTTTTGTAACTCTTCCATCTTTTTTCTTACTGATTCTCTGTCAAACCAAACAGGTTGTGGAGAGAGAGAGACAGAGAAGTGGTGGGGTTGGCGGCTGAGATACCTAAATTTTGGAGATAGAGAAAACGGGCTAAGAAAAAAAATCAGAGGATTCACATCCACATTAGATCTGAGGATTCTTTTGGGGTTCACGGACCTTGTAGGGGCTGTATTGAAGTTCTCTGCACCTGGCAGACTGAGCAAATGCAGGGTTTTTATGATTATGTTGTTTTTCTTCTACATATACTAATGAAGCCCTGAGTCTGGCCTTGTTTTTGTGATCTGTAAAAGTAGAGGAGTGACAGTTTTCCAAGGTTTGATGGGTATTTGCTTGAGCAACCAAATCAAGGCTGAGAGCCCATATGAATCTGGGGCAGGTACTACCTTTTCATTTCATACTCACTTTGTATGTCTATTATCTGGTTTCTTGGGAAAGTGGGAAAAAAAAACAAAAAATATAACTTGGGTTCTTTTTCATGTTGCTCCTGTTTCTTGAAAATGGTCAGCTCAGCTGTGCTCGTCTAAATTTTATTGCTCCTTTTTATCTTTGTTAGAGTTCAAAATTTTCCTTAAAGCCAGAGGGATTAGTCAGTTAATTTATGCTGTTTGTACGAGATGGTTTCTGTTTTCTTCCTAATACTAATGGGCGTATTATGTTGTTTCCAGTCTATTTATACCAATTTGTATGACAAATTTGTTTCTGGTTTAGTATAGCTAGAGTTTCATTTATCATCTTTACAAACTTTGGTCGCAATTTTGGGTTTAGTATGTGATTTGTTGTCAAAGTTATAATTTGGTATCATTAAGTTGGGAGATCCTTTTGAACATTACTTGATNTTGGGTTTAGTATGTGATTTGTTGTCAAAGTTATAATTTGGTATCATTAAGTTGGGCGATCCTTTTGAACATTAGTTGCTTGCTGTTGTTGTCAACTCTTTTGCATGGGTGTATTGATTATTCAATGTTATGCTATTTGAAAATTATCTTTCTCAGATGCAGAGTGTTTTATTGAAAGTTCTATCCATATATGCCGTTCATAAGAGATTTTGATGCCTTAAATGTTTAAGTTAAGTTGGCATTTGCTAAATACTAGAATAGGGTCTCTGTTTTTGTGCGTGCTTAATTAATGTTTTAGTTATATCGGATTTTGCATAGGGTTAAGTTCTAAAAATGTCAGCAGAGATGGGACTGAAATGAGTAATTCAAGTGGCAAGGTTTCATCTGCCTCCATACCCCAAACTCCTAGAAGTGAGGGTGAGATCTTGCAGTCCTCCAACATAAAGAGTTTCACATTCAGCGAACTCAAAACAGCAACCAAAAACTTCCGTTCTGATAGTGTATTAGGAGAAGGTGGATTTGGTTCCGTTTTCAAGGGGTGGGTTGACGAGCAGTCATTAGCTGCTTCCAAGCCTGGAATTGGGATGGTGATAGCTGTGAAGAGGCTTAACCAGGAAGGGTGGCAGGGCCACAAGGAANTTAAGACCTAAAACCTAAAAAAAGAAGCCCAATCATGGAAAGGCTGGACTAAGACCAAAAAAAAGAAGGGGTTTTTGAAAGTTGGTATACCTAATTAGACTTATTTGACAAAAAATATATATTAAAAAATATTTTGAAAAAAAATACACTAGTTAAATACAAAGGCTTAAATGCCCATTTTAGGAAAAGTGGTGTATTAAATATCTCCTAATTTTATGGGAGNAATGGTTGGTTAGTACACAATTTTTAACTTCTGAACCTCCTTTGAGTTTCTTTGGAAACTAATTATTCTATTACTCTGCCAGTAGTATAATCTTTGTAGGCCCTTTGTGAAAATTTTTGATAGAATAGGGAGCAGGGATTCTTGATCTGTGTATGTNTTAATATTTAATGCACATTAATTTATGTATATATATATATATATATATATGTATATTGTTTGAAATTGGATACATGATCCATTCCAACACAGAATTTAAAGGTTTGTAATTAATTACTAGTTTTGATACGTCTCTCTCTAATTCCGCATTTTTAATGACATAGAAAGCTGAACATGATCAAGGAGATTNATTGTTTAGTGTGCATCTGTAATTCAATTTTCCATGTTGCCTTAGCTACATTCATGAAAGTGTCAAATCCACCTGGCATCACCATAAATGTTTCTGCAATGTATCCATTTGCCACAACCCTCCCAATAAGAGTCCGTAATTTGGTGGAATCTATTTTTTTGGTGTGTGTGTGTTTGTTTATATTCCCATTGCCTTAGTGCCTAGAGTCTTTCGGAAGATACAAATGTTGAAATTACTCCAGTAAATCGGATACCCATTTGTTGGAAGCAATGAGNTTGGATGAGTCTAGATTTTAGTGGGAATATCTGTTTCACTAAATCCTTTTAGATATGAAAGTTTTACCATATGTTTTTCATATATGTCAAAAAGCGGTAGGGAGGTTAGAATATATATATATACAAGTATGTATGTAGATATAAATACAAGTATGTATATACGTGTAAAGTGTAAAGTCTNAGTTGCACAAGCAGAGCTCTAAACTGTATATAGGTATTTGCATACATGTAATTCTACGATACATTCCAAGTACCTATCAATGTATCTATGCTTTCTAGACTAGTACTTTGAGCTTACACAAATGCATGAATTCNCTTACTTAATAAAAAGTGTAAAATGTTATATGTTAACATTGAAAGTGTAACATTTTCACACTTTCTCAATTAATTAGCATTTTTAGTTTAAGATAAGACATGTATATTCTGTTTGTGTAACACTTTAAGTAATGTCTCCTCTTACCTTGTGTAAATATCTTGTTACATTGTTATTTCTACACTGTTATTGTTACTTTCAATATTACTCTATAACACTTTACATTTTCCATTAAGAAAGGTGAGATATAAAATAATACTTTACACTTTACACTTTCAATGTTACACTTTACATGTATATTTATATTTATATATATATAAATACACATATATATTGACAAATACACATGAATCAAGGNCAAATGTTGAAATTACTCCAGTAAATCGGATACCCATTTGTTGGAAGCAATGAGTTGCACAAGCAGAGCTCTAAACTGTATATAGGTATTTGCATACATGTAATTCTATGATACATTCCAAGTACCTATCAATGTATCTATGCTTTCTAGACTAGTACTTTGAGCTTACACAAATGCATGAATACNGAACATACACATGAATCAATGGAGGACAAAAATATCACAAAAAAATTAGGCAAATTAAAATTGTGTACTTGGACACAAATAAGTATCAAAATTAAGGGCTTAATAATCCTACATTTTTTAATGTATATTTTTTGTCAAATAAATTTAATTTGATATACCCCTTACAATTTATCCGAACAAAGAAAATTTACAATGGCAAAAACCCACACAAGAAGTCCCCCATCAGATGCTCAACCTAGTAGGGGTCCAAGCCACCTACGTTAGGCATTGTGGGCCAAAATAAGAGGCACANAATAACCTCTGACATATGAAAAGGACGAGGATTCGTCACACTTTGTTTTGATTGTATTAATACAATGGTTGAAATGAATACTAATGGTTTGGATCTTGAAACTCTTTGGTGGTAGAAATCAGACTTTTTGTATGTTATGTGTGTCAGTTTTTAAAACTAACTGAATGGTTCAGAAAGTGCTCAAATTAATGGCACATCCATATAAATCAAATATATATATTCGGTCCAAGAGAAAAATAAAATACCACAAGGAATGAAATTGCAAACCCTTGAATGATAGTTTCCTTTTCTGTTTTGTTACCTTGGTCGACCATTGCAAGCAACTTTTTGTGCTGTTTCACTTTGATTACATTTTGCAATGTATACTTTATTTGACGAGTATACATTGCAATGGTGGGAACTGGCTCTGCCTGCTAGGGTAAGGCTGTGTACATCTAAGCCTCTGCAAACCCCGTAATGGCAGGAGCCTCGATNTCTGACATATGAAAAGGACGAGGATTCGTCACACTTTGTTTTGATTGTATTAATACAATGGTTGAAATGAATACTAATGGTTTGGATCTTGAAACTCTTTGGTGGTAGAAATCAGACTTTTTGTATGTTATGTGTGTCAGTTTTTAAAACTAACTGAATGGTTCAGAAAGTGCTCAAATTAATGGCACATCCATATAAATCAAATATATATATTCGGTCCAAGAGAAAAATAAAATACCACAAGGAATGAAATTGCAAACCCTTGAATGATAGTTTCCTTTTCTGTTTTGTTACCTTGGTCGACCATTGCAAGCAACTTTTTGTGCTGTTTCACTTTAATTACATTTTGCAATGTATACTTTATTTGACGAGTATACATTGCAATGGTGGGAACTGTCTCTGCCTGCTAGGGTAAGGCTGTGTACATCTAAGCCTCTGCAAACCCCGTAATGGCAGGAGCCTCGATCACTGGGTACTTTATTTGATAAGTAATAATGATGCACCTTCTGTTCTGATCCCCAAATTTATCTCTTATGTGAAGGTCATCTAACTGCCAAGAGCGACATCTACAGCTTTGGAGTTGTGCTTTTAGAAATTTTGTCTGGTAAGAAAGCAATAGACAAGAATAGGCCGACTGGACAACACAACCTAGTGGAGTGGGCAAAGCCTTATCTGACAAACAAACGCAGAATACTCCATGTAATGGACGCCCGTCTCGAAGGCCAGTATTCGCTTAGTCGGGCTCTCAAGGCAGCTACCCTTGCACTTCAATGCCTCTGTATGGAACCCAAGTTGAGGCCAACCATGGATGACGTGGTCACAGCCTTGGAGCAACTTGANAATGGACGCCCGTCTCGAAGGCCAGTATTCGCTTAGTCGGGCTCTCAAGGCAGCTATCCTTGCACTTCAATGCCTCTGTATGGAACCCAAGTTGAGGCCAACCATGGATGACGTGGTCACAGCCTTGGAGCAACTTGAGGACTCAAAAGACACATTGAAAAATGATCAGAAAGACCCACAGCTAAATCGTCAAAGCCATTCCAATGTTGGTCCTAGATCCTGCAGAACCAGTTCAGAGGAAGCTCGTGGAGTAACTGCTTATCCCAGACCTTCATCTTCTCCTCTTTATGGTTAGAAAGGTTCAAAGGAAGAAGAAACGAGAAGACTTTTTTGATGCAGCAGTTAATTTATTTTCTTATTTCAGGAGTTTCAGTCATGTATTGTACCTGTTATTTTTCAAACCAGTGTACAGTTCTTGTTTGGGGTTGTGGACTTAAACATGNGATGCAGCAGTTAATTTATTTTCTTATTTCAGGAGTTTCAGTCATGTATTGTACCTATTATTTTTCAAACCAGTGTACAGTTCTTGTTTGGGGTTGTGGACTTAAACATGTTATGATATGACTGGATTTATGAGGAACTGTGTATATTATCAGTTGGGGTTTAATTGTTTCATCAGTGGTATTCGTACTCTGGAAAATGTTCTACAACTCTGTGCTACAAGTCGTCTATACAGGACTTGCATGCAACAGGACAAGACCTTCTCTCATAATTATGTTAATGTTGAAGCCACAGTTGGTGACTTCAATGGCATAAACTTTTGATGATTGGATTCATAATGTATATATATATCAACCTCTTGTCGCCATTTTTGTACACACGTGTGAGTAAACATACAACCAGTTGCATAAATCTGACTTTTGGTATGTTGTTATGGACTTAGGGGCTGTTTGATAACACTATTTAAAACTTAAAATTGAATATTTTAAGTACTTAATAAATTAAATTCGTTTGATAACTTAAAATTCATACTATTTAATGTTTTAAACACTTCTTAAAAATAGGCTAAAATTTTAAATATCAAGTCACCTACTTATCAATTAATGCTGAAAATGTCAGCAAGAATTTTATCAATTTCTCATAATAGACAAATATACTCTCACCACCATCGCTGTTGCCACCATTACCATTATACCACTGTCATCTCTATTGTTGCCACTACCATCATCACTACCATCACCATTGCCGCCACCCCCACCATCACCATTGCCGCGACCACCACTATTACCATCACCATCGTCACCACCATTATGGCGCCGTCACCACCGCTACCATTATGTCACTATTACCACCACCATTGTGTCACCGCCACCGCCACCACTACCATTGTGCCACCGTCACCACTATTGCCACCACGACCACCACCAACACCATCACTACCATTGTGTCGCTACCACCACTATCATTGTCACCGCCATCACCACCATTGTCACTACCATTGTGTCGTTGTCACCACGATTACCAATATGTCATCGCTGCCACCACCATTGTGCCACCACTGCCACTGTCACCGCCACCACCATCTCTATTGTGCTACCACCACCACAATGTTGCTATCACCATCACTATCGTTGTCTTCACCACTAACATTGTGCCACCGCCACCACTACCATCGTTGTCGTTGCCACTACCACCACCATTGTGATAGTGCTCATAGGAATAAGGCAGTTGTGAAAAGATGGTTAAAGAGAAGGGTAAAATTAAAATAATAATAATTTTCAGACTTCAGTTCCTTATATTTGTCAAACAGTTTGATTAACTTCAATACTTAAATTTCAGTTGATAACAAACAATCTATAAATTGAAAAATTCAGCATTCAGTTTTTAATGTTTATCTTTCAATTTTATCAAATATCACCTTATACAATAATTTTTTCAAGCGGAGGTTTGGCATGTTACTAGATTTCTTTGAAACTATACAGATGGGCCTACTGGTGCTGGTATCAAGTATCAACATTCTAAATGGTAATTATTGTAACAAATTTTGGGTATTTTTCTAGATATAATAACTGGATTCAGCAAATTATTAGAGCTGTCGATGTTTTTAGAATGATTATTATTAGCTTTAATCACAAGAAACATCATTCGGGGATGGAGGTGAGGGAAAAAAAGAAAGTACATAAAAATAATTTAATCAATAAATATTTGTGTATCATATAACCAAGCCGTCTTAGCTCAGCTGGTAGAGCGCGTGGCTTTTAACCACGTGGTCGTGGGTTCGATTCCCACAGACGGCGAAGCTTTTCCTGTGAGATGACCTTTTGTTTCCAATTGTACGGTTTTACCTCTTCGTTGGGCTATATCTGATGAACAGTTCAAACGGTGACACAACGTGATCACTCGTCTTTGACATGCTGTGAAATTATTTAATAATATTTTTTTTTGCTGAAATATTTAATAATAAATTTATAAATAAGTGAATAAAACCCCACTTAAAGTGATTATTAAATGATATGACATGATATTTATTAAAATATGTAAGATTCACCTATCCATTGGACGAATGACATAGTGTAACGGTTACATTTAATATTTTTTTTATATTTGATGCCGAGAACTTATATATGTAACTAGGTCTGTCAATAGATCAGATTTTGATCCGAATTCAATTAATTGAGTTTGAATTAATATTTTTTATTGATAATTTGAATCTGAATTTGATATCTTATTTTTTACGAATTTAGATATACATGTACCCGATATAAATTATTTATATAAATATTAAAAAACTAAGTGATTATTTTAAAAAAAATTGTTTGAAATTTTGGTATAATTTATTAAATTTTGGTTAATTAAGTTATTCAAATCAGATCGAATCGACATTCAAATTGTTAACGGATTCAGATATGAATTACAAAAATAAAATTTATCGAATTCAGATTGATCAAAACCCGATTCAAACCCAATTCATTGAAAGACCTACTTATTCATCGAATTATCGAATCCATAGCATCTATGATTTTTTTGTAACGACCACATAAGACTTTTGATTAGTAATTATAAGTAGATAAAATTTTTACAATAATGATATGAGCACAATTTTATCTTTACCACTTGATGTGGTATAATCTCAACCTTTAAATATTTACTAAATTCAACGAGACTCACTAATCTAATTGTTCATATTAAAATAGTATACAGATGTAACATAGAAAGATGATGACATACCCATAGAATTTGTTCTCACTGCACTTGTTACAAACATTACATTATAGTTTTAACAAAAAAAAAAAAAAAAGATGCTCTTTGCAAAACTTTTCAATTGTCAAGGGAATATAAGGTGTAATAAGTATTAATCAAAAAGTTCAAACAAAAGCTTAGTAAAATAAGGAGGACCACGGAAAAACGAGAGGTATTGAGATGAGTAATTACTTTGAGAGAGTTGCATATGTCTCATTTTGTGCCGTGCATAGTATTTTTTGTTTTTTTTTGAGATTCCTAAATTCGACCAAGTTACCAATGGTTAAGGTACAAATTCAAATCCCTTACTTATTATGCTTTCAAACCATTGAAACCCCACTTTGAAAAGAATGATTCTAATACAACTAGACTACTAGTTACAATAAATAAACATTTGTTATGAGAATCTAATGTAAAACCAGAACAATCCTTTATTAATCAGAGCAAGCTTAAATTTTTAATCAAATTTAATTTTTGCAGACCTTTCTAATGGAAAAATTCAAATATTTACTTAAATATTTTAAAAAATTCTCATATTATCCCAAAACCAAACCAAGAACTCATACACCGCAAAAGGAAAATACCATAACATTGATATCTAGAGAGGATTCACAATCAAGAAATCACCAATGTGAAGCTACACAGTATGAGCAATTAAAAGGGCCACAAAATTCGATATCTACAATGGATTGATTCGTATGCCATCATTTTACACTACGAGTTCAATAAGTAGGGTTAGGGTTTATACAAAAAAAATTGGGCAGTCGATGATGTCGTTCCTTGAGACAATCGATGATGAAGAGGAAAAAAAATAGAAGATGAAGAGGGAAGAAGATTATCTTGAGACAGTCGATGCCGTCGTTCTTCCTAGCAGAGGCGTTGAAGTGAAAAAGTGAAGGGAAGAAGAACATTTTTTTACACACAAAACAGGGTTTCGGTGGAAAGAAAAAGTTATCGTTGGATTATAATATAGAGTATAGGTCTCCCTCAATTTGGGTAAAAAAAAAAGATTTTTCATTGATTTGATATAAATTTGAGTCAGAATTGAAAATGTCCTATTATTGCAGTGATAGATTTATCTTATCAACTCTTTATTTTTTTTAAAAAATATGTCATAGGACACAAAGTAGAACCTATTAATCCGACGGTATACATAAAGTGGTAAGTAAAATTTGTAAAAAAAAGTAGGCAATCTCCTTGATAGAAAGACCGACAGAGACAATGTCAATTGTGCCTTGTAAAGGAAATGAGGAATCAACGTATGAGAATTCTATAGGCCATGGATGTTGGTAAATGGTAACAAAATGTAGTGGTCCAAGTGTGCCCATTGTTTTTCTACCGAAAGACATAGCAGATATGATAGATAGGCATATATCCCACTCCCTCTTTTCAAAGGCTAAGGTTTTTTCTTTTTCACTTTACAAGTATCTCAACAAAAATTTATTACTTTGTTTTTCCCCTTATTAGTTATCACACAAGCATTATGTGAATTTTCTCATGGAGGGGCAGTTTGGATGAACGTGGTTTAATGTCCTGCCTAGACCTGCATTGTTGAGTCGAGAAATTAAACTCAAAATTAAATTGGAGTCTTTTCTCTTTTTTGTATTGGTAAAGTTTACTTGAAATGCAGAATTAAACTTTGATTTTGAGACTAATCTCTTAAACTTATAATGGTATAACTGTCTAGATTCCTTCACCAAGTAGTTCATATCAACTCTCAAAGTTAAGTTGAGTGAATAGACTTCAAAAAATGAGTGGCCACTATACACGAAGCATTTCTCTCACACCATTAGATGCCATTACATTTCACAACCCTCCCCTATTTCCTTTAGTATTTACAAGTGGGTCTGGGTGAAATCAATATTTTGAATGCCATCACACTATACCACTGCACCTACCTTCCCTCCATAAATTCAGCACCCCCACCACCATAAATCTCACCTCCAAGGCTCCACATACATTATTACTTCGGGTTCGACTCCCCTTCAATTTGTTTAGAATTGAAAGAGAGTCGAACTACTTTTGAGCTTTCCATATACCCACTTGTACAAAAACTTCAAATCATCACCAAAACATCAATTTCAATTACCCACAAAGCATTCAACATTGCAAAGCAAAAAAAAAAAAAAAAAAGAAAGAACTTGTAAAAGACAATTAGAATATCACAACTACTCATTATATTATAGTGTGATAATTTGATGAGAAGCTGCGGGTTACATGTTTTCTTTTTCCTGCAGGCCACTTCAGAGCCTCTTTACACTTTTTCACCTTTCTTACTTTAACCAACAACACCAAAACATAAATAAAGCTACAACCCCACAATAAAGATAAAAGTTCAAAAACCCAAGAAATAAAAATAATAATAAAAAAAGTTACCACAGACCCACTTTCCTACCCTATGATTTCTATCTAATTCTATTACCCCCTCCCTCTAACCCCAAATTTTCCCAGGAAAAAAGAGAAAACTGAAGGAGGGAATCGTGGGAAAATAAAACTTAAAATTAAAAAGAAGACTTTTTATCTCCTTTTTATGGTTTTCTAGACCCTGAAGTTCTTGCCCGTGAACGTCTGACCAAACTGCCAATTAGCTGGTGCCACGTTCCAAGAGGTTGAGGTGCGTAGGTCACTGCCAGTGACCCTAAAAGACAAGGCCTGGCCAACAAAGACAGCATTGGATTGCCAGTTTTGGCCCCAGTTGCGGCTCATGGCCATCCATTGAGTATTGGTCCCTTTGATGCTAACGCGTGTGATATCCCCTGCACCAGCGACGTTGGTGATCAGAAGTAGGTTGAAGTAACGGAAGCCGTTGATGGTGAATCTGATCCCTCCCTTCTTTCTGCATGGGACCCTGTTATTAAAAAAAAAAAAAAAGGATTTATAAAATTGGATAAAGACAAATTAGTTACAATATGATCCAGAAAATAAATATTCAATGCTATAGTGGGAAAACATTGTTTATCGTTTTCTCCCTTTTATTTTTTTAATATTATTCTGAAATTTTTTAAAAAAATACTCTAAAAATTAGCAATTCTTAAATCAACAAATGATAAACTCCATTAAAAAAAATTAATAAATAAACCCAAAAATCGACAAGTGAATTAAAAAAAATGTGTGCACTCTAAAAATTAAAAATTTTTGTATAAAAAATAGTATTTTTTTGGGCTTTGGGCCCAAAATGAAATTCACCGATTGGTGACGTTTGGGTTGTTAGAAACGATTGATTGAACCGTATTTCCGGTGGGATGGCCCACCAAAACGGTGCGGCTTTTCAACATTGGTGATGGTGGTGGATTTTTAATTGGCCCAACAAGCATCGTGGGGGCACCGTGAGGTGTGTCCCTGATTCTAAAGTATGGGGCACACGACAACCCTGATTTCCTGGGCAGTGTAAAAATGAACAAGCTTTACCATACTGCCCTCCAGGTGCAGAGAATTTGCAATAATACTTTACCCTAGACAAATAAATATCGATATGAATATGAATTTAGAATTGACAAATTTGGTGAAAGTAAATAGACATAGACAACCGTCAAATAGATGGGTAGATTCGACCCATTAAATATGATGCAAATCGACTTAAACACAACTTTACACCCGATTTATACACAAACACAAATTGATCAAAAAAAAGTTTGACATTTTTTTATACAACATTAATAAGACACGATACAATTTTATTAACACTCAAGTATAATAATCTAAAAAAAAAAAAAGGGCTATAATAGTCTTTTTGGGCTATGTGGTAGCATCGATGCAAAACCAACCGAAAGCTGGAGTGACCCAAACGGTCTTGTAAAACGACCAGAACCGCCAACTGCACTTGGCCATAAGTTTAAACGACAGAAGATTTTGTCAACTTGCACTTGAAAGGTTTCACTTAAAACGTAAATTAACAAGAAATAAAGGGCATTCCTGTCCGCCAGGCAAAAGTTTGAGGTCATGATCAGGTCGCGGGCAGAGTACACGACGAATGGTGACCCAACACATATAAGGTCAGTTATGGCATAGATTTGAATTACCGCACTATCCTCACTATTTAACAACTATTACAAACGTAATTAACAGCAAGTAAAGGGCATTTTTGTCCTCCAAGAGAATGTTTGGAGGCGCAGTATAAGGTGCAGACTGAGAGAAACACCAGATCTGTCTAAATGCAAAGAGGAATCGGGCATGTGTAAAATTATAATTATACCCTGCAATATCGCGGAAATTACTCAAAAGAAGGAAGAGATTCTGGTTAAAGGTTCAAGGGCATTACGGTCCACAAAGCAACAGAATCTGATCAACCACCGCTAAAGCTTCAAAACAAAGCACAAAACCAAAAGGGTTTAGGGTTTTTCTTCACTCACCGGCGGAAATTGACCGGGACAATACCGGCGCGGTACTGAGCGATCTTAAGGAACATGGGCATGGCGAGGTCGAAGTGGGTCCGAGGAGGGTTGCACCACCCACCATCGTCATTAGGTAAGGCGTAGTTTGGCGGGCAAAAATTTGTGCCGGTGACGAAGATTGAGGGGTTTCCTGGGTTGCACCATTTGGGGTCTTCGGCACACTTGATCTCAAAGCAAGCTCCACAGCTCAGGCCATTGTTGAATAGCGCTGTGCTTAGTGCGGCTGTGTTGACTCCGTAGCCTTGGCTGTACAGATTGCCATAACCACACGCACCACCTGAAGAAAACAGCAGTTACAAGAAGAGTTCGTTAGAGTTTATAATATGGGTTGGTGGGTTGAGTTATACACCGTGTATGCACAAGTGGATTTAAGCATTGAAATGATTTGTAGAGACTTAGTAGTCAAACAGATCATTTTGGGTTTGGAGGGTTTCGGGAAAATGGCGGAAAAATGGAGGCCATGGATTGAAAGATTTGAGATTTGGCGGAAAAAGTAAGAGGCGAATTAAGTGTCACTGAAATGTGTCTTACACCAAAAGAAACAGAGCACACCAGAGAAAGATTAGCTTCACTGGACAGTATGAAAGGTACACAAACACACACACAGACACAGACACAGAAAGGTATATGTTGTATACCCATAGTGCCAGAGGCGTCGCTGCCGCCGTAGAAGGTGGCGTGGGCGCTTTCCCACGGCCCACCAGTGTAAACACCGGGGATGCGAGCATGAACCACAGTGAAAAAACAGAGTAGACCACAAATGCAGAGCAAACCCATTGGAGACATTTTCACACTGACGGAACCAGAGAGCGAGAGAGATGGGTTTGGGGCGAATTGGAAAGTGTGAGGAAGGTGGGTGGCTATTTATAGAAAGAGTGGGGGATGAGGAATCACCGTATCAGAAAGGGTAGGGTTCTGTAATTATCATCTTGTTACAAATCCCTTTTTTCATTTCTCTCTTTCTTTTTTTCTTCGCTCCCTTTTTTGCTTGAAATGTTATGCTTTTTTATATTATGGCCCAAAAATAAAAAATAAAAAATGAATAATTGAAAACCATCTACATGTGCGTTGCACATGGTCAGTAGGATTGCTTAGTGTTATTTATATACCTAAATGTCTATAGCACATATTATAATGAATTGATTAATATTTGAAAAAACAAAGTCAAGATTAAAGCAGCAGGTTTTGGTTCCGTACCACTTTAGTCTTAGCATAGAGGTATTAAAATAAGCATATTTTACTAATTAATCTCAGCTTATACATACAGCAAGAGTCCATAGCCCCACATTAAAAAAGAATAATAAAAATTAATATTACGGAGTTATTTTTATTTTATAGCATATGATTCAACCCTAAGGAGATTTCATTAAATTTAGGCTCTACAAAATTAAATCAAGAAAGTAATATTTATATTTTTTTTAATTTTAAAATATGATCTCTAAAAGTGAAATGAAATGAAAATTCAATCAGCATGATTAGTTAAATCCGTTAGGCCATTGCTTTAAAGGGTTGCAATAATATATTTTCTTTCATACATATTTTTGAAATTATGATGATAACGCAAACTCTTGACATCTATCACTATAATCAATTAATGGGAGAAAATGATTGAAAAACCTTCACCTCCACCTCCACCTCATTTCTTTTTTCTTTTTTTTATTTAAAGTTTTATTTATTTATTTAACTACAATAAAAATATTATCCAATCACACTCTATCATATGTTATTGTAAAATTACTCTTTACCCTACTAATTAACTACCATTTATTAATTTTTTTTTTAAAAAAATTATGTATGCATTCCATAATTTAGTATAATTCATATATATCCAATATCCTAGTAGAGTAGGAAATTATTAAAAAATGGGAAGGGTTCACATAGAACCACCACTAACAGATTACTATTGCAGTTTGTTTGAATGGATTTTTGGGAAAGGTTTGGATTGGTTTCTTCAAATTCTTTCAAACACAAACCTTTTTTTATAAAGATGAGATTCAACATTAAATCTAATTCATACTCATATTTGGTATGTCCACCAATATATCACTATTATAATAATATATTTATATATAAATAATTATTTTATCCTTCACCAATCTAATATAAACTCATGTTTGCATATGTATAGGGTATAATTATCTTTTTGCATCCTAAATTCGTTAGCCCTTATATGAAACCCATCTCCCATGGGTTTGATGAAACTCGTTATCTAGGATTTAAGATCCGAGCCAATAACGGACTGGACTAGATAACTCGAGTTTCAAATTTTTAGCTTAACATGAATTTTGTGTGTCATTTGAATTATTTTTTCCCAACCCATCTTACAAAACCTCTCCAATCCCACTTATCACACAGCCTTTTGGAGAATCATCTATATTATAAGATTTATTTGTAGGTGTAACAGTTATACCATATCATTAATAATAATACGTGGTATCATCAATCATTTATAATGTCACTGTTATATTGAATATTTTCCCGCAAGTTTTTTAACAGATAGAAAATATTAAATAAACTTAAAAAAGTTGATTTAAAAATTTTACTTGATGAATCTTTAACATCAAATAATTAATGGGTCTCATTAAATATTAGAACTCATAATTAAATCTATAATTATGTTATACTACTAATAAAAGTACATTTTTATGAAAATTTTTTGATTAACTATTTTATCCTTATAAAAAATTTTAAATATCACATCATCCTTTCATAATTAAATATTTAAAATATCATCATATTTTTATGTATTTAAATCTCCAAATTATCCCTAAAATCTTTTTTATTCTCTATTCTCTATGCATAAATATCAATATCCATAAAAAATTTTAATTGACTATGTTTCTCTTAAAAAATAAGCACTGATTAGAATATTGATAATTATTATTATTTTATTTACTAAATTATAAGTTGAAACTTAATCAAATAAATTATTTTTAGCTTTATTTCTTGTAGTTAGAACAACGAATCGTTGAGAATATAAATTTTTTTTTGAATTCTATAATATAATATGAGCAATACAAACATAATTTTTATAAATTTGAGATGATATTTAATTTAGGTACATATATATCTAAAAGTTTTTATTAATATTTTATATACGAAAATTATTCACATGTATAACACGTGGTGCATTATTAGTTAATAAAAAATATAACAACTACATCGTTGAGTCAATTTTTTAAGTTTATGTAACATTTCTCTTAAGAGATTTCATAGCTTTGTATCAAAAACAAATTAAATAGCTAATTTAAGGAAAAAGAACACGAAAAGACAATAAAAAAGCAAATGATTTTTTTATTTTTTTTTTGGTGGGGTCAAAAAGCAAATGCAAAAGGATAATTCCGCGTAAAAAGTGGGACCATTATCCCCGTTTGGTAGGAGTAGGACCCATATCCACTCTTCTCTCTACAGTTCAGACTTTGGCCCGTGGATTAGATTTATCCAACACTCACTCCCCACCAATCCCATCTGCTTGTTGCCCTTTTATCAGGAAAGCATTTACTTACCAGCTTTAAATTCACCTTCTTCTTTTTTATGTTTCATTAATGGAGTTGCCTGACTGTTTAAATGTTTATTTCAAGTAAAGAATATTTAATATTAATTGTTTCGAGTTGTTTGGTTGCTTTCACCACAAATCGAAGCATACAAGACGGATTAGTAATGGACCATTTCATGTTAAATAGCAGGAAATAACAAAAATCTCTATCACCATCGCTTTCTGTTAACATTGGAAAGGCATTTTTATTGCAGCAGATAGGCTACCAAGCAAAGCCTTTTTATTGTCTAACCTAAATGCTAGCAGACGTTCTTTCTAGCTCTCTACTTTATATGAAGCTCAGCCAAAAAAAAAAAAAGAAAACAGTAGGAAAACTGTATACATTGAGATTACAGTGCCATCTGCTTAGCAAGTGAAGATCATAAATTTATAGAAGTTCTGTCAAGAGTGCGTGCTCGAATGCTCACAATATTTGTGTTGAGGTTGAGTTATATTTTGACTTGTTCTCAAGTTCGTCTAATCGACCAAAGTTGATGAATTCGACCTGATTAAGAACCTTATCCTTAGCCTCCAAATACACATTGTTGGTCGGATGGGTTCACAATGTTAGGGCGGTGTGTCACATCAATGGTCTTTGAAGCCATGTGCCCTCAGATGGGTATAATAAGTCATAAAAAAAACAAGAGAGGGAGTAGAGTTTGATCATTCAAACACCAAAAGCCCAACTCGCATGTGAACCGAATAATGGATTTGGTGGCTTCTTTCTTCTTTCTTCTTCCTCTATGATCTTCTCTCTTTCCCCCATCTACAAACCCACTGCCCATGTGCCCTCACTTATTGCCGCCTCCACTCTTTTTCCAAGAAGTTTCTCCTCACACACGGAGTGGGTGGTTTAGTGGCATATCGATCGAACTTCTCTCTCTGATGTTATATACTCAAGTCTTGAAATTCATATTATAGCTTAATAGTTGATTGTTATACTAATTTAACCAAGTTCGTTTTCGAAAAGAATAATGAGTGCAGTCAAGAACCTCATGATTATACTAGTGAGAGTCTATCGAGAATATTTCTGAGCGCTCTCCTTTACCTCCAACTCTTATTTAACTAGCAAAATCAAGTAATTTCTTCTCCTTTTTTTAAGAGCAATGCTAATTTGGAGACTTAATTCAATACAATCGTTGAATTAATTCTAAATTTCAATATTATATAGAACTCAATTTCAATTCAATATTAGCCTTTTATTACATATAATATATATATATATATATATATACACACACACACAATAAGAATCGAATTTAAATATGAACTAATATTTTTCTATCTATTGAATAAACATATCGAATTCAATAACAAATTTTTTAATTGAGTCTAAATTTAAATATATTCAAATTCGATTTGTTGGTAGGCCTAGTGACTAGTCACTAAGCTGCTTGCTCATTAATCAAGGGTGCTGATATTGTTAGACATAGTGCACTTTTTTAACACGTAAGGGTAGAGGTTGAACTAAATGTAGAAAGATGTCCCACACTTATAGACCAACCAGATCTAGCAGATCTGCCACGTCATCAATGATTGAAATATTTCATCAACAACACAACCCACCCAACGATCCCAAGTTATTAAGCATGCAAAGACATGTGAAGGTGCCACCAAGATTGGTCCAACCCCTCACTCTTGTCCACGTGTTCACATGTGAGTTGTCAACCCCTTTTATCCAAACCAATAATTTATTCAAAAATTCTCAGCTGCGACCAATTTGAGGTTCCAAAAATACTCCATCAAATTTTTTTTTTTTTTTACTACTGAAAAAAGAGGAGGAAACAAAAAAGCGCACCCAGAGTCCACTCTCACAAGCTCTCACTGGTAAAATCATGAAGTTCCTGACTGCATCTATTACTTTTTTTGAAAACGAACCTAATTACGTTAATATAACTGTCAACTATCGAACCCAATATGAACTCTAAGACTTGAACCTCCAATTTCATGGTAAAAATTTCGACTGATACCCCATTAAACTACTCCACTTAGTAGTAATACTACACTTACTAGATTTTGAGGCAACATATTTGTAAGCTAATTTTTGCACACCTCAATTAATATTTTATTTGATTCGGTCAAAAGAATGTCATTACGTCGAAATTATAGTATTCATAAAGAATAAATTTCTCATTATTTAGTTACAAGAAATTTTCAAGATTCGAACTCAGGACATTGCGATCTATAGCTTGTCCCTGCCACCACTTAAACTATCTATTTAGGTTAATTATTATATTTTTTTACGCCCCTCTTATTTATTTGATGTGAGACTCTCACTTCGTTA